GAGCAGGAGGAGGTCATCGTCTAGTGCTCGCTCCCCGCCTCATACAGTGCGTTTTGTATGTATTAACATCTCCACGATCCCAGAGTACGGGAAATTATACTTCTCTTCCCCTTCCCACATTTTTCTAATTAGGAAGCAATGGGAAGTGGATGTGGATTTGTAAAGGAATTAATTGAAATAAGAAAAATCTTAATAATAGCTCAATACTCCCCATGTTTGATATTTCTAATTTGTTTATAAAATTTACGGTCGGTTTCTGAGACCAATGTCTGTATGAAGCATATCATCATCCCTATCATATGTTTGATTTTCAATAAGAATATGTTTCAAACGTTGATTCTGGTCTCAGAAACCCACAGTTAAACATTCAATTGAAATGACATATCTTATTTCAGATTGTCCACACAAAAGCCGAGTCTATACGCAAAGTATTTGCTTGTGACAATCTACATTTGAATAATGTCCACTAAAGGCCACTGTGACTAAGTGCTTACATACAATGATCATCTCAGACTTTTGCCGCTATAACGAGAAGAAAATAGAAATGTTGTACTTGCATCGCTCAATAAATGAAACAAATCGGACTAAAATAAGATAAAGCGAGTTGTTCACTTGACTTCTGTAAGTTTATTTATCAAATTACTTTACATATCAACAAATTATAATTATTCAAACTTTCGTGAGACATTATACTAAAGTGATGTAAACACGGCTAAACACTCACGTATATTCGTCCGGTGGCGGCACCGACTAGTTTCGGTTTAGCCGTTTTTATATCAGTTTAAATTATACTTTACTTTTCACTGTAACTTTAAAAAATATTGTGTTTTTCGAAGGAAAAATGAAAAAATGTTATTCAGCAATATGAAATTTTTATTTTAATATATCAAAATACATATAGCAACCGTAAATAATTGCATACGTGAGTCCTAATGTAAACTATGAATACATATAAATATATATGCACTTCCTTAGTATGTAATATTCGTATGATAACACTAAAGGAGAGAACCTTGAAGGAAATCGTCTCTTTTACTGTTCAAGGAGTTTTTACACTTTAGCAGCCATTAAATCTAAAAAAAGAAGAAATTTAAACTTTTGAATTTAGTAATGTCAGATCAGTTTTCTATGTCTTTTTGGTATTCATGTTCTACAATATTAACTCATTTTTCTGCAAACAAGGGTTTTTTTATTTAAAGCCCTGTACATTTACATTTTAATAAGTCATATAAAAACTATGTATTAATTTGATATTTCTACTCTGATTTCCTTTATGTCACATCAAACATGTCCAACTCATTAAATAATCAAAATTAATGTCATAATAATGTATTTCATACATTCCTTTAAGGTTCTACTCTGTAACAATACTGCCTTTATAACCCAAATGTTCTAGAAATAAATATATATATATGTAAACTCTGTTCAATATATATACAGAATAAAACATATAACAGAAAACATTGTTACTATTTAGTATCACACATCCATACTAAATATATTTCACTATAAAGTATATTGCATTAGTTTATATAATGAAATAACTATATAACTTAAATAGTTTATATTGAACAGAGTAAATAAATATTTATAATAATATAATAATTACTTAAAAATAAGCTACAAAAGTTTTTTTTACTATGATACATTAAATTATAGATAAAACTAGCTGTCGCCCGCGACTCCGTCCGCGCGGTACTAAAAACCATAGTCGATTCTTAGAGCTACTGAATATGCAGAGTTTCATAAAAATCGATCAAACCGTATTGGAGGAGTGTGGTAACAAACATTGTGACACGAACATTTTATGTATTAGTCAGTGAACATATAAAATATATTTCTTATGTTGAAATTATTTGATTTGATTGAAGTTTTGATGTTAATCTTATATCAAGTTCCAATCCGTCAATGAATGAATGAAAATGATTAATTCCTTCATATAACGGTTTATATACTGAGTGAGTTATATATGTAGCCTATATCAATATACACATATGTATATATGTTATCAGTAGTATGTAGTGAATATAGTCAAATATATTTTCGAAATATATAAATCCCGCTTTATATATATTTGTAATGTTTACTAGAAGGTTGGAATTTCACGTAGAAAATTTTTAGTCATGTAAAATGTCCAACTTATGTTAAGTAATATCGCTTTCAAGTAAATGAGTATATAATCAAGTTATTTTCAAGTAAAGTTATAAGAAACAATAATACTTATCAAATGTAAATATTCAAATTAATTTTCCAAAATCCATGTAATTCTATCATATACTTACAAAAAAATTCAGCTAACAAAATATATCATTTTTTGTTTTATATATAAACATATAAGTATTTTTTTCTAGTTGTATGTTTACATATGCCGTATATATTTAATGAATATAACAACATATAAGGTAGTGCAATGTATCAGGTCACAATTTATAGTTTTATATGTAAGATATGTGTAGGTCAGCATAACATATATCTTTGACATTGTATATGACCATAGAGATGGCTTTAAATTTTAAATATAGACAAATGCTTATTTACTGATACTTGATACTGACAGAGGGAAGTACTTTTTTAACACGTACAATGCAACTACAATTTTTTTGTAGAAAGTTAAATGTTACAGACAAGTCGCGACACTGAACGTGTTAATTGCTATTTTTTGTTTTAATGAGAAGTGACAGCTTTTTAATAAAGTTTTTCGTTCTATTTGTGACTGATTTGTACTAATACCAAAAAAACTGATTCACGAGAGATATGATTTGATATCTCAGTCTACCCCTGATTAAGATAAAAGGCTTGAAAGCTTATAAGAATAAGTAATCGCGTGCCAACCAATCTAAGTTGTCGTTTTACGATTTATTCGTTTTATTTGAATTGTCATCGTCCGCCATTTTGTTAACAAAATGGCAGCTTTATGTAGGTTTATTTTGTAATTTTATTTAGCTGGGACAGGCCCTATTCTATTAGTTTAAATTAGTTAAGGTACATATGAATAAGTTTTGTTTTATCATTCGTCCTAAAGAGGTGTTCTTTTTTGTTCTTAACCTGAGTACAATCGGAATATTTTCGTGTTCGCGAGGTTTTTTTTGTATATATTCGTGTGTAAGAATCTTAATTAGTTAGAGATTAAAATTTGAGTTCATTGAAAGTGTCTTTTATTTATAATTATCTATAACATCTCCTATTTTAGAATTAAGTGGAACAAAACATGAACAATATGGTCCTTCGAGTCGGATATCAAACATTGGTCATAGTATATCCGGTTTGCTAACAAAGTTGTTCCTCCTCTTATTGGGAGCGTCGACCTGGTCTCTATTGGGAGACTTCCTCTTGCTCTCATCAGCACCAGAAGCCTCTACCGCTATATCCTGTGTCGCGATCCCCATCAGAAAGTTGTCTACACTGCTGTTGTCTTTGGACACGGCTTGATCATCTGTTGAAAACGATGACTCGTAAGAGGCCAGCGAGCTCCCGGACCATAGACAATTATTCAACATAAAAATAAATATTTTATAAAGCAGTAGATTTTCTTGAAAGCATCGCTTTAAAGTATTGATTCTTGAAGAATCTTGGAATCTTTTTCAATAAGCCGTGATAGGGTTATATTAAAAGAAAAAAAATTACGTAGAAACAAAATTTAATAAGTTAAACAAAATAAAAAACACTCGGAAAAAAAGAAATTAACTATTTTCAATTATGAAAAGAAAAATAAGAGAAATATTAACACAAAAGTATATAAGCATATGAAGAACTAGCATTATAAAGAAAGTTGAAAGATATTCTTATATTGGACCTATCGAATATTCCAAGGGTCCAAAAATAAGTTCATTGAATACAATATCACCAATGCATTTACAGATAAGATTAATTTATAAATGACCTTTTCGTTTCACATTATTTGGGTGAGTTTTTCAATATTGAATGAATGCTAACCCTCTCCCATCTTCTGCTTGAGCAGCTGTTTCAGTCTGAACTCCTCCTGCGCTTGTCTCTGGCGGCGCTTCCTCTCCGCCCGCGCCTCCTCCTCCGCACACGCCTCAGCCCCCGCCCCCGCCCCGCTCGCCTCCTGTTCACGAAGTGCCGCTTTAATCCACCTAAACCCTCGTAATATACAAAAAATGGCAAACAACCAACCATCTAATATGACTAAAACGCTAGCCATATACCTCTACAATCAAATCAAATGTTGCTGATGTCGGTAGTGACTTTGATAAACAAAGAAGAAAAGTCTGTCTTCTGTGAGGTTAATTAGGATAGGCGACCATTTGACAAGACATTTTTGAAGGTATGGTATTAAAAATATCTTCTATAAAAACTCGAATATTTTTTTGTAAGAAAGAAAAAAGAAGTAATAATACAGTAATAGTAATAATAAAAAAGCATATCTAATATTATGATGGATAAAAAAGAAACGTAAGATCAAAAATAATAATAATAAACAATGAAACATTTTAAAATTTCCAATCGTTTTATTATAATAAAAACATATATTGTAAACCCACACAATATGGTTTAAAAGTCTACGCAAAACCTATTTTATCTTCACAATTCCATTCCGACATAATTCCCGAGCAAAGGATACCACTAGAACGTTTATATCAAACTACTGGTTTACTTTATATTACCATATCTATAATAATGAGAATTTTGAGCAGCATTTTGTGTAAATACTAAATTCAATATAAGTGTACGAGGCGTATCCTATATCCAAGGCTAGTTCCACTACAATCAAATGAAAACAGTGTTTCCCAAAAGTATCATGTTACAAATATATCGTTTACATAGAAATACATGAAATTATATAAGCCAGGCAGTCGTAGAAACTGCAACTAAAACGGTTTACTAGAGATAAATATGTAAACGAAAGACAAACCGACTTAAATTATTCAAACTTTCGTGAGACATTATACTAAACTGACATATAAACACGGCTAAACACAGTGAGCGACGGACTGCGTCCGCGAAATAATACCAGTACCACTCATCCTGATGAAGCCCATCGGGGGCTCGAAACTAGTCGGTGCCGCCACCGGACGAATATACGTGAGTGTTTAGCCGTGTTTACAAACCGACTTCTATGGAAATATTTCGTTCAAGGTTCAAACCTGGAGAGCCTTAAATAGTGATCCAAATTATATTCATTAAAACTTTAATCGAATTCCATTGTTTAAAAAAAAACATTATTTATGGCCATTACAAGTATATAGATTAAAAAAAGTTGGAAAACACTGTCATATAAAACACCCTACGTCATCTAGTAGACCAATTCAAATGACACGTAAAACCACGTCCTACTAAGCACTTACACTAATAACACTTATTCCTAATACTAGTAACTTGGAAAAGATTCAATAAAAAATAGTTTACCGATTTTAGAGATTTAAAAAAAAAAGAAATTACTAATACGCCCTTACTAACGACTAAAATAGAATCACTAACTCCAAGTGCTAAGGCTCATTGCTACTTATGTAGCATTTCTCACGCGACACAGTACTACAAAACTTACTCTGAACTCCACTGAATGTCACATATTATATCTTTCTTTGACTAAAAAAGACTACTATATGTACCATACAAGTCTGAAAGGAGTCCTAAAGTTATAAAAAAAATAGTGTTGCCACCAAATTTACCATCTCGTTGGTTTATGGCAACATTAGTTATACAATTGACATTCGAAGAGGGAAATCATTACCACAAAATTACTTCATATCAGTTATTTCTTAATGGAGGTATTCTCCGTAAGTTGGCAGTGTTTGGAGATATATTGGGGCACTTGTAAATTTTCATTCTCTTCACCATTTCAAAATCAACTTTTTTTCTACCAATTTTGCTTTAGGGTTGCCATTATTAGCGTCACCCTAAATACACATCAAAAACCATGAGACATCATAGTTTGGCAAGAAAAATTAAATCACTGAAGATTCCAGAACTTCTGTTTAATTTACGAGAATAACAAACTTATTTGTTTGTTAAAATTTCAAATTTAAAAACCGATCTAAAGATATGTATAAGTTTTTTTGGAACGGTTTCAAGTCAATATTTAAATAATATATTTGTACATTGATAAACACATTATCAAAGACATACATAATAAAATCATTATTCGCTTTTCAAACATATGCCCAAGTGTATACTACTTTATAATTTGAAGTCAATCGGCCCCCCTCACTAACTAAGTCAAGTGATAAGAAATGCAGTCAATACGAAGTTCAATGTCGTAGTCCTTAGGTAATTGAGATGTATGTAGCTTACTTTCATCTAACATCAACATTCAAGAGATATATCACATATCAAACTACTGAATACATCATGTAAGGAATGAGATGTTTTACATAATTAAGATTTAGGCGGCGTGGCGTCCGGTCCCGAGCTGGGGGAGTGCGTCTTGTGCAAGCTTTCGTCGGGGAACTGCTTCTCGACCTGCTCGGCCACCCACTTCTTCACTTTCTGCTCCGTCCAGAAGCCATCATAGAAGATGGTGGGCTTGATCCAGCAGCCCTGGTTCTGCTGCGGGCCGTACTGCACCGGCTCCCCCTCCAGTCCACCGGGCCGTACGCACGCGTTCTTACATTCGGAACCGGACCGGGAATTGACCACGAGGTTTTTTGGGGGTATGTTGAAATTCAAATTGACATTGCTGTGATGTCGGTCGAAGCTCTCGTAGGTGAAGTGCCAGGGGCCGGCAGAGTACTCGTAGTACGCGTTGGGGAATATGTGTGGCGGGCCGACGTGGGGGGGCGCAAGACGCGGCGGCGGGTACAGGGGGGGCACGACGCCGCTCATCACTGGCAGGACGAAACTTACGTTGGAGTTTGGGCGCATGTGCGCGTGCTGCGCGTGCTGCGGGTGTTGTGCGTGCTGCGGATGCTGCGGGTGCTGTGCGTGCTGCGGCGGGGGGTGCGGCGCAGGGGGTCGCGGAGCGCGCGGCACGTTGGCGGCGGGCGGCAAGTTGGCGGGCATGGGGTGCGCCTTGGCTACTGGCGGCGCGGGGGTCAGCACCGCGTTCTTGATTGCCGGCGGGATGACGGGTCGGTTCACTGAGGCGCTGCTATCCGACTCTTTTCGTATATTTTTATTGAGGGGACTGTTTTTGGGCTCCTGCTTGTTGGCCACATTCTGGTTGTTCTCTTTGAGTGGCTCCGGGGGCGGAGGGGTGACCTCCACTTTGTTTGTATCTAAGAGTTCCATCAGTTCTGTGGCCACGCTACCACCAAAACTCAGCAGGGTCTCTCGCAATGCATTTGTAACAGCACACTGAAAATAATAATACAATTATTAAGTTCCTCAAACTTAAATACATAAATTTTTGACCAAATGTTGCATAAACTATTCATATGTAATCTAAATAAAGCTTGTAATTACCTTCCTAGCTCTGTGTATAGCGGAGCCCTTGTTAGGGCCAATAGCAGTAGCATAGCCCACATTCTCCCTGTGTATGTCAAAGCTCTTCACTGTCACTGACACAAAAGCTGCCACACCAGCTGTACACTTGTTCCCCACACAATCCACAAAATCTGAAAAATATTGTCTTTATTACATCTTATCATTGTGGCAGGAATAAAAAAATGTAATATGTCAACATTGCAGATTTTTTCTCATTTTAATAAAGATTCGTTTTAAGTTTATTTGTATTTATTTTTTTAAACTGCCTTTGTACTCACCATATTTACAAAAAAACAAAATTAAAATGGAACAAGAGAGGTTCAATTTATATTTTCACATTGCACTTATTTTACTGCCAATGAAAAAAAATGACTAACCACAAATAACTAAATTTACTATTTTTATTAATTACTAATAACATACCAAGATCCTGCTTGCTGACAGACCAGCTCCAGTTGTTGAAGCCCCACTGGGAGTGTCCAAAGTTGATCAGCTGCTGCCGTCGCTGCGGGGGCTCCCAATCTTCCTCACCAGTACATATCTCCGGAGTGCTTGCATCTGGCTGTTTTACATATAAAAGAAAATTAAAAGATTTTAATCCTGTAATAAAAGTGAAACAGAAAAACTATCTTGGTTTAATAAAACTCAATCTATAATTTTTTCTTTGTGAAAACCCAATAAAGACTTTTAAAATATAAACTTTATCTTCATGCAAATAAAGTGACATGTTATGTTATTGCAATTATTACTTACTGCCTTTAACTATTTCTATCTAGTATTATAAATGTGTATATTATAACTATATACAATGCCTAATTCCCTTTGAATAATATAATGAATGATAGCCACGTTTATTGATATTTAAACATATGCACATTGTACATGAATACATAATACCTTTTTCAATTTAGAGAAATCTTCGATAAAAATCTAGACTTAATGTATATAAGGCATTAAAAAACTTCATTACCATTTTGATACTGCAATTGGCCACGGGGAAGCCTGGCTTTCGCTGCATCTTTGTCAATGCAGCTAAATATAATCACCTTTATTAAGTATTCATTAAATTGTATCACACTGGGGCTACTAGCTCAACACAAACACAAAAACAAGGCCCTTTAATTATGTCGGCCGATGTTAGATTAACAAATTAATCTCAATTTCACAAAATAAACTTAACAAAACAAGTATTGACATTTTGCGCGGTACCCAATACGCCAAAAGCAAAACTTGTAAGAACTGACGTTTCGTTAACGATTAATGAATTTTGCGCTTTTGACACTGATCTCTACAAATGGATAGGTCAGTACTTGGAAATGGCTGTTTTTGATTCATTCCGACTCCAACGTGCCGAGTGAAGTTCCTGATAGTTAATTTTATCTCTGTTATTAGTGTGAATCCTCACCACTGATACCAACCGCAACATCAGCGCCAAAATGGCGATAATCAAGTAGGCGCAAAATAACATGATTCATAGCCTAACCATAATTAGAGCCAGTGGTTTTTAATTTTCGATTTGCAAAATATAAAAGTTTTTCTTGTCTTTTAAAAGTTATTTCTTTGAGAATATCTAATGAAACAGTGAGTTTATTCTGTAATGAAATCCTTTTGCACATAACCACAGATTTGTCAGACTGCTGCAAATACCCAAAGAGAATACCTAGTCTTCGCCACAAAGTCAAAATAAAGTGTTGTCAGATCAGATGTCAGTTGTGAAGTTGTCATTGTTGGCAATGTCAGATTTAAAATAGTAAAATAGCAAACCTAAGTTTAATTTAATTTATTTCGTTCT